AGTGGAGAGTTTTCAAGCTTAAGGACGTGCTGCAGGGTTGAAGGTTTGAGTTCCTTTGCACCATGTTTGCTGATGTGACCTTTTTCCTAAAATAATTAATTCAGGATACACTCCTTATAAAAAAGTTTCACTTGGATTTCCCCAACTGACTTGGGAACTGTGTGTGTGTATATATTCAGAGGTTTCTCCGAAATGACGTTGTTGACCTTCTTATTCGGCCAAGTCTGCTGTTATTTTACCGGATTATTTTTTTTAAGTCAAGAAGCTTAAAAGCGGAGTTACTTCCGCTTTTACCGTGTCCCGTTAGTCAGCGTCACAGTGATGCAAATAATTTTAAAACAAGCCAAACCTTTAATCTTGGCACAGTCTACTACAGTTTTATCATTGTGGAACATTTGTATCTGTTACAGGAGATGCTTAGAGACATTTTATTTTGTTTACTTTTATTCTACGTAGGAAAGGGGGCGTGTCGTGACGCCACGCTGGTGGGTGATGTAGGCAGCTATTCCAGGAAAAATAAACACACAGTTTCTCCAAGATGGCTCCTCAGTCCGCTCTCCGAGTGGCGCTCCTGGTGTCCTTCTCGGTTCTCCTCACCGTGGTGCTGGGCTTCGGGCTCCCCGCTCTCCTCAACGCCATCATGAGGTTGCTGGGACTGCCGGAAACGAGCGTGACCGAGTGCATCGTCGTGATGTACGCGGCTTTTGTGCTGTATGTCGCAACACCTCGGTTCCCCAGGGGATCGGTGGAGGTGAGAGGGCAGAGCAGGAACGTGGCGCCTTTGCGCCCGTCTTATGATTTTAACCAGACTGTCTGAGGAATGTGTCAATATGCACAGCACATTTCTGAGAGGATACTTCAGGACTTTAGATTATCGGGAAATTTCCTTGAGTGCAAGGTGAACGGTGCATGAGGATTAACGCTGCAAACTTGCCTGCAGCTTTGTACCTGATCATCTTATTTACAGTAAAGTATTTAGTTCTCTTTTTGTTTTTTGCATGTATTATGTGGAGTCACGACTGTTTTCTGTTTTATAGGTTCAAGGAAAAGCCGTGCTTATTACAGGTTGTGACACTGGGTTCGGTCTTTCACTTGCGAAACATCTGCACACGCTCGGTTACACGATCTTTGCTGGGTGTCTACTTAAGGTAATAATCCCGTTCAGAACAACTGCAGTAAGTGACCAGTAGGTGCTTTGCAGAAGCACTTATTACAGCCACTGTAGCTTTGGGGAATATCAGTTTTGCACATAGTGGCTAAAAACTCTTTGCAAAGTAAATAAAGCTCTCTGTCAGAAAACAAAGTCTGATTCTGAATTTTCATGAATTCCAGATTTGTGGAGTGCACAATTAAGTTCTCCTTGTTAGATTTTCAATGTGGTCGCATACATACAAATACAATGCGATTGATTGATCGATACAGTTATGAAGATATGCAATTGCAACACTTTTATGTATATATTTCCATTCTTTCCTTACAAGTTTTCATTTTCCATCCTCATGATTTCTCCTGTACTTCTGTTGAGCTTAAGCAGTGAAATCTGCATCTGGGCCCCTAAAGGAGGATTTACTTAACGTTGTTTATGAGCCTGACTATATTCTTTGCATAATGCAGGACAAAGATGGAGAGGGTGCCAAGGAACTTGAGGAGTTTCATTCAGATCGCATGAAGGTGGTGCAGCTTGATGTCTGCAGTGATGACCAGGTGAAAAAGGCCGTTGAATACATCAAAGGCAATCTGGACGACTCGCAAAGAGGTAATGTTAACAGTTTATCACCCCTAAATCCAGATAAATGAAAAGTGCTGATTCATTATGATTCTGTTAATTTGTCAGGTCTGTGGGCTGTGGTGAACAATGCTGGGGTGTCGACCTTCGGAGAGGTGGAGTTCACCCCCATGGACACCTACAGGCAGGTGTCGGAGGTCAACCTATGGGGCACCATCAGGGTCACCAAAGCCGTACTGCCGTTAATCCGCAGGGCAAAAGGTAAACCCATGGGAGGTTTTTCTCTGTTTGTTACTTATTAACGCCCACCTTCGTGTAAGCATGGCATATCAAAAAAATGATGCGTCCAAAGTTCAAATATCTGAAAGAGAGACGTTGTACAGTGAACACACAATCAAAGCTGTTTTTAGAGTTTGGGGTGCAAAATGTGTAAACTATACGATGCATTTTTTTTTTCATCAAATCTATTTTTATCAGATATACACTGGTTTTTAACAAAAGACACTGTAAAGTACATGAGCTTAGCAGCTAAAAAGACATTCAGTTAGTAGAATGTAAAAACAAAAACACTACATTTAAGTAAATAGAATAGATAAAAAGTACACTTGAATTGTTTTTGAAAAAAAAAAGCACAAGATGTTTATTCAAATTATTTTCTTACTTTATTGGCACATGATGATGCAAAAGTTCTGGCATCTGTTTTTAGGCTGATCTGAGTAATTAAGTTGTTAACTTGGGAAAAAAAACAATTCAGAGCACCTAATATTAATATCAAAACTGACCTGAGGAAACACAAAAAACAAAAAATAAATCATATTTTCATTTGCTAAGGGACGATAGCCGTCCACGCCAAAAAAACCTCATGTAAAAAAAACTAATCACTCCCCTTTGATCGTATTTGTATGAGTTCAAAACATCTGAAATCATTTCCAAATCCAGAATGATAAAACTCCAACATTCTCACTTTCCATTCATTAGAACATAGTATAGTCCAGGGGTGGGCAATACTGGTCCTCGAGCGACGGTGTCCTGCAACTCTTGGATGTCTCCCTGCTCCAACACACTTGAATCCAATAACTGAATCACCTCCTAAGTGCAGTCAAGTTCTCCAGAGTTCTGCTAATGACCTCATTATTTGATTCAGGTGTGTTGAAGTAGATACATATCTAAAGGTTGCAGGAGACCGGCCCTCGAGGCCTGGAGTTGCCCTTCCCTGGTACAGTCAATTCACTGACTGAAAAAAGTCACCATTTTTGATCTTCCAACTGTTAGCAAACTCGCACCTGACCCCCTCTTGAAAAATAAAACTCTGACCAATAAATGCGGTGTGTTTCATCCGCTTGCAGGCCGCGTTGTGAACATCGCCAGCATGTACGGCAGGATGGGCAACCGCCTGAGATCACCTTACTGCGTGTCGAAATACGCCGTGGAGGCCTTCTCCGACTGTCTGCGCTACGAAATGAAGAACTGGGGAGTTAAAGTGTCCGTCATCGAGCCGGGGAACTACATCGTGGCCACCGGCATCCTCACCCGAGACATCGTAGCCACCACAGCCAACAAGCTGTGGAACGAAGCCCCTGCCGAGGTGAAGGAGGACTACGGGAAAAACCACTTTGAACAGTACATGGCACTGATGCGCTCTTACTGCAACAGCGGCGAGAAGGACATGACTCCGGTTCTGGATGACATCACAGACGCCATCGGGTCAAAGCGTCCGTACACGCGGTACAACCCCATGGAGCCGCACTGGTGGATCAGGATGCAGGTGATGACCCACCTGCCTGGCGCGTTGTCCGACTTGCTCTACTTCTAAAAGAGACGTTTTAGCTTCCTCTCTATCTCCTATTTCACAATAGATCAGTTCACCCAACTGATAGGGTTTCTGATTCCTCAACACCTGAAATCATTCACTGATTAAGCCTTAATACTTTTTAATGTTTTAAACTGTAAGTAAATAGCTACAGTTTACTTTTTAATATATCTGGCTCAGACTATGTATTCAGATCTATGCTCTGAGTCTCCATTCTTTTTTTGTTTTTATCAAGAGTTGCAGCATTCTTATAGCGACCAACAATACACTTTTATTGCTTGCTGTGATATCAACAACTTTGAGCTTGTTATTTGTATCTTTTATTTACCATGATGCTTTGCAATGTTTCCCCTCATGCAAATTGTTAGGGAAGTTGAGGGCTGCAAGAGGGGCTACGGCACGAAGACAAAACAAGCTTGAAAGGGCTCCTGCTGTTCTGTTGTCAGAACAGACCGGGGCCGGACTTTGAGGGCCGCTGTGATGTTTGCCCCAGAGTTATGTAACAGCCACACAAACTCACTTCGTCCCACATGCGCCATGAAAACCAGCGTACTACTTCACACTGAAGGGATTAACGAGGGTACTTGGAAGAAGAGGAAATAATGTTGGACAACCCCTGTCTTTGTAAGTGAAATGTTATGTAATATATTGAATTATGCAAATGAACAGAGTGATTTATTTTAAAATACTACAGTCAGTGTCCTTTTTTCAAAACCTGACTAAATAAACCAAAAATCATGAATAAGTTGTTTGAAATCCCTTCTGAATCATTGTAGATGTAGTTTTACTAATGACCACCAGGTGGCACACAAACATCATAGATGTTAATGCTGGAGTTATGAATTGGAACATAATTAAGGATTCATGTATATTCAGAGATATACACAGTTTTTTTTTTTATAAATTGGTATGACTATTGCTTGGAGCTAATAAAACATTATTAGCTCCAAGAATCACATGAGGTCAATTACAACATTTACCTCACTAAGAATAATTTGGAAATCTCACCAAGTTGCTGAAGAGTTTGTGTGCTTAAGAGTGCTGTATCCAAGCATATTGAAGGAAAGTTGAGTGCAAGGAAAAACTCCAGATATTTTCCACAGGCAACAGGAATAACCACAATATTGACAGGAATGTTGAGCAAATCCCATCCAAAGGACTGCTTCTTCATGGTCCAAACTTATCCCAGTACGTTTGTGTTAAAAAAGTACTGGGTTAAAAACCAATTTAGTCATTGGTCTAAATCTAAGAAGCAGAAATTTGGATTTAAATTACCTGTGAGTATCACCAATAAATAACTGAAATGTGTGTTCAATTTGTGTTGAGCTGAATAACAGAAAAAGGTACAAAACAAAATTTTATAAATTATGATCTAATATATTCAGAGCACCTGTGCTCCTTTTTATATCTACATACAAATATAACATGCATTAACAGTCAAGCAGAAAACCTTTTTTTTTTTTTTTTGCTTTTTATTACATCTTTAACACTCTAAATCTTCTAAATTATTACACCTGAAGACAGTCTCCCCTCCATAAAAACAGTATTAAGAGCATAACATTACGGGTTTTTTTTCACAGCACTGCCTTCTTTTTAATCATTCCACAGCATGAATCTGTTTCTTCACTCTCACTTACAGAAATAAAAAAAGAAAATAAAAAACAAAGGAAAAAAAAAAAAAAAGCTTTGTGAGACAAATATCACCACAGAAATGTAAGCAGCACGAAAGCACCAAAATCAAACACGGGCCACTTGTTTTTAATATTATCAAGACATCTGTGTGAAAGTTTAATATCTCAGGTGAATTTAGTGAGTTCAGCGCGCACTGTAGTAAGTTTACTCCCCATCAGGACTAATAGTTTGACGAGCAGTCTTGATAATATCTGTCACAACTGACTTTTAATGTCTCTTTAAAGCAGATATATATATATATATTTTTGTACAGCTACAAGGCTCTGCTCATGCAGCCTCCTTTTTATTGTAAAATGAAAAAAAGATCCCAGTAACAATATCTAAGCAGGGAGATACTGTAGTTCTGTTTTAATGTCAAGCTAAATATTTAAATATTGAGTTTGTTCATATTTATGTGGCTAATCTGCAAACAAACAAAAAAACAAATGTGAAATCTTACACTAGTTGTAGATAAAGATGTAAAAATGATATCTTAAAACTGTCGACGTTTTGATACACAAATTACTTGAGGTGCTCATACAGATTTGGGTCATGATTACATCACACCTGGAGTTATGTTTATCACTCAACATCCGCACGTGTGTTTATCATTTACATGTAGGCATTCACTGCTCATCTAAGACTTGATGAAGTCAGCTATGGTAAGGCCACTTGAAATGGAAGACACCAACTAAAAAGGGCGTATTATGTATGAGCAAGAAAAGAGAGAGGGGTAAGTCCATGACATTTGGTGAGCGCTAAAGGAGGAAATGCGCTTTCCTATGAGGATGTGTCCGGCCGTCCCCACGCATCTGCTAATCGCTCCGCTGATGCACATGCAAAGCTTTAAGCAGATAGCAGTGATCAGAAGTAGGAAGTATGGGTTCTAAAGAGAAAAGAAGGGGGGGGGAATTTTAAAAAAATCGGGGAGCTAAAGCTTTGGTTGCCGTAAAGCTGTGAAGGCACGTTAAATTCTCCCAAATCCTTTAAAGTGGGGCAGAATGTGTTGGCGGATTCACTTTAATGCTTTGTGGCATCACAGATGCTGCAGAAACTGGGGGCCGGGGAGCAAGTACTAGCAACAAGCAGGTGAATGAATCCAACAAATGAATCCAGCAGGTAGCTACAGATTGGGTATTTTCAAAGCCCTGGAATTGAGGGGGGTAATTCTTAAAACTTCAAAACCAGTGTGATTACTGAAATAAACATATCTGCAAAAGGGAATGCTAATTAATTGCTAAGTTAAATTATAATTCTACAATTATCTCCAAAAGCTTAATAATCCCGTTTTGTTTTAAGTGTGCTCCATATTAAGACACCTTTCCAAGAAACCTTGAAATTAGCACTTTAAACACATAAATCTGAATGAATGGTTTAACTTCTCATAAAACATTTTCAGATTTAAAAACTTTTATCTGAAACAAAATAAGGTGGGAAATAAAATGAGGCTTTTTTTCAAGTTGATGAACTCTAACCAGTGGCCATGACTCAAACAAATAAACCTGTGAACGCACTGTACCCAAGTACCTCAAATTCGCACCGACAACAGTCCTTAATGTGGAAGCAACTACTGAGAAAAGACAACAAAGTGAGCCATTTTCAGTAACACATCTGAGAAGTTGTTTCAAAGTAAACAATTGTTTTTGATGACATGTCAGTGGTTTATTTGGGCTGCGAGAGAAAGCAAGACTTTCAGCAGATACCAGGAAGGCTAAACAGTGTAACAAATTTGCCGTTTTGTTATTCTAAGCTTTTTAAAAATGCTGGATGATGAAATGTTTAAATTTTATATGAGTTAAGGTACAGAGTTACATTCTCCAGAAAACACACACGGAAACCGGTATTTTATCAATGCTCGCTCTGCTAAAAGCCAACATAAAATGCTGGACTTCAAAGTGTACTTTCATCCTTTTGTGTTTGTTTTAAAAACTAAGACTCACACACAGTGTGACATCACCACTACTCATCAAATAATGACGTAAATGTTTCAATCTTCCTGTAACAAGGCTCTCAAAATAAACAATTGGGAAAAACTGATATTGATGGGTGCAAGACCGATCATTCAGATTGGTCCATCTCTACTTCTGCCAATCACCTCAGATGCTTTCATCAAAAACTTTACAGCCAATGCAGCATCAGCTGCTTCGTAGATGATCAACTGGGCGTGGCTGTTACAGTGGAACATGCTCTCCAATTCCTTAGTCTATTTTTCCTTCCCTCATCCTCTTTTCTTTTTGTGCCCGGGTCCAACCAGCTGCAGAACTCATCATCGCAGGCTTTCTGATGATCATCATCATCCCCCTGCTGGAGCTGCTCCCTGCCAGCACTCCTTCTGCTGCAGTTTTGATTGCTGCCCTTCCACATTCAGACTCTACCTAGTCCCCTTTCAGTGAAAAAAAAAACGCTCACTCCAAACCTTCGCTGTACATAGAAACTTGGATCTTTTCTGCCTCCGCAAGGAATAGGTCGGGTTTTTTTCGTATAACATCCATGCTTTGCAACTACGCACACTTGATCTCCCGGTGACCCTCTATTCCCTTTAGTAATCACTAATTTAGGAGCGGTGAGATCACCCTGTTGGCTGCCTGAGCCAGTTCTCCACTTCCCCTCTCTGTTCCAGAGAACTAGATTTATACATTTTCTTTTCCGAATGACAAAAAACAAAAAAGGACTCCATGACGCCAACGGTGAGCTTCAGACACAAAGATATTCCCCAAACCTAGAGGTGCACTGACCAATAGGCCGGAAATCAAAATAGACCAATTTGGTCAGCTTTAATTTGTGAAAAATATGATTTTGCCTCCTCCTGTGATTAAGCACACTTAAGCTATAAACCTTCTACATAAACCCGTTAAAAAGCAGCATGTGTCATTTAAAAATAAAAACATAACTGAAGTTTGCAAAAATGAACCAATCAACCAGCTACAGCTCAAAATCTGCCAATGTTTTGCTAAATCAGCAGATCCAGGATAAAAAGATAAGATTTTTCAACAAAACTCATAGCTCCCATCATTTTAATTCTACAGATTGCAGTAAAATGTATTTTGAAGCCATTTGCCAATTTAGAAAAGGGGGAATCAGATAGCAGATGGGGGCATGGACTTTGGTCCATTAATGTGGATAATCTTGTAATTCCTTCATAAGCTGTTGGATTCCAAACCTGCAACACATTTGTTCTCATGTTTCATAATCCTTTTGGGGAGAATGGAGAGGGGGAATCAATCAAAATCAGAAATGACAGATCAGTTCTCAGAACCCTGAAAGTTGGTATTAGTCAGAAAAAGTCGATTTCTACCAGCTGTGAATGGATTCTTAGCGGAAGATAAAAGGGAGTTTGGTCTGACACTATTCTACTTATTTGCATCATGAGATTCACTGTGTCATTTGCCTCCTCTTTGTAACATTCACATGATGTGGATACAGCAAAATGTGGCACAAGCAGTTCTATTGTACAAAATAACAAAAAAAAAGCCTACTTTGCACAAGAAATGGAGGAAAACAACAACAAAAAAGCAGATGCATTATAACATTTCAATCTCAACACGGATCCTAACAAATCTAAATAAATATAGTTTGGTCACTTGATTTTTATCAATGATTAGCTGAAGTTGTGGATTAATGTATCCACAACCACAAAAAAGAAACAAACAAAAAAAAGCTTTAAGACAAACATTAAAGTGAGTCAACGTGTAAGACCTGTAGGCATGGCTCTGAGTAAGTCGTCATCTAAAAATATCTCAGTCGTGTAGTTTAAAAAAAAAAAATAAATCACATCTTTAAAGGAAATTGTTAAAAAAAAAGATTATATATTATCAACATAAAGAAATCTAAATGAAACCCTTATAGATACCAAGGGTGAAATACATGCCATTGCCTATGACCTAACGTGGATAATTTAAAATGCGACCAAGAGGCCTGTAGTCAACTCTCGGGGCCCGTAAGTCTTTTCTTCAGCCCTCTCTCAATGTCTCTCCCATGCTTTTTACAAATCTCTTCTTGGAATGCTCACAAAGTGGCCATTTAAGTCCTGATGATGTGTTAAGTCTTCAGACTCAGAGCAGAAAAGTTAGTATGTGTTCCGGTGTAAGAATCTGTTTTATATATGGAAGCCATTAATCTCTGTGCATGTGTGCGCGTGCGCATGTGTGTGTGTGTGTGAGTGTGTGTGAGGATCGGATCAGGATGCGGCCAGGGCTTTGATCAGGTACAGTTTGTCTCCCTGTTCACTGGTGAAGATGGGAGCCTTTTTGTAGTGTTCGACAAGCTCTTCCATAGAGTTGAATTTGCGCTGTCCGATGCAGTAAAGGTTCTCCTTCAGCTGCACTTTGAAATGCTTGTTCTTGCTCTGCGCCTTTAGGGAGATGGAGAAGTCATTTGGCTGAAAAAGTAGAAGAAAAACTCGGATTAGTGACCACAGACAACAGGAACGTTTAGAAGGAAAGGGTGGGAAGGAAAAGTCCAGAATTTGTAAGAGGAGGTCTGTTAAAAGCTCAGCAGCAGATAATACACATTCAGATTGAAGCTAATGACTGCATTGAAAGGCCCTCAAAACAAAGCAGACTTAAACCGTAAAGTACCTCTAATCTTAAAAATGTCAGAGGGTTTATGTTAATGCGTAGCAACGAGTATATTTAAGCCATTGCTACGCATTCATTGGACAGTTATTAATGCTGACGATTATTTACACAAAAGACGGAGAAGGGAGATCGTGCAACCCCGTAATATTCCTGTGTGAAACACAAACTGAGAACTGAGCATTAGAAAACATTCATAGTCAAAGTTAACACAAACAGAGGCGAAGACGGTTTGAAAAATAAAAATCGTATTTATAACTAGAATACTGTTAACTTGAACTGCTGTAATAGGATTGCTTTCAAGTATTTCTTTTACTGGTTAATGCTAGTTGGAATCTGCGCAAAGGACACATGAAATACTGCTCTTATAAATCATAATGATCACAAACTTAAAATGCTGAAAATCTGCTTCAGTCTTGGCTCTACAGAGACAAGCCCTTAGCTATAGTCTTCTGGGTACAACTTATTTGCATTTATACTAGACAAAGAAAAAAAAGTGTAGAACATATCAAAAACTTTTAGGGTGACACCTTCAAGACACCTGGGAACAGTTCTGGGAAAAAGATGTAAACAGAAACTATAAATAGAACCCAAGTCAGCTAACTGACTGAGTTAATGATGTAAATTTGTTTTTGTATTCATTGTCTTGTTGAAAAATCCACCCTCATTTCTTGTTTAGATTCTTATCAAGAATGCCTCTGGCACCGTTCTCCTTTCTTCCTTCCATCACTGACATGACGTCTGCCAGTACCGACTTATCAAAGACGGCCCAACATCATGTTTTCAACCATCTGATCGCAGTGAACTCCCAGTAGTGAACTGGCTTGTCATAGTCTTAAACCAACTTTGGAAATCTTTTTACTTCAATAGTGGAGTCTAATTCAGTATACATTTCTAAAAGGAATTGTGGTTTCCATGAAAATTCAGGTCTTTTTTTGAAGCTCTCTTTAAGTGATCTGACAATCAAATTATTCTTTTCACTCCACTGGCAACCTATTATTGCTTGTGAGCTTATTTGTGAGATTTTTGACATTGTCTTGGGACAGGGCTGGGCTTTTATGATTCTAATATGTCTCTTGTGTATTTCATTTTTACTGAGAAATCTTGCGTCATTCCCTTATATAACATACATCTGAATTTACTGACTAACTGGAGTTGATTTCTTTGTAGGCGTGGATTACTTGGATTGTTACTGATGACATTGTAACCTGATTACTCCCTTCAAGAGTTGGAGAAATGTTGGTGTGTTCAGTAATTAATCCTCTCTGTTGTATCTATTAGAGGTGAGATAGTAGCTGCTTTTAAACTTTTAACAGAACATAATTTCAAAAATTCTGAACAACTCCTTCAACCAACAGATCTTAGGTACTGACCGATGACTCGCTATCTCGGATGAGAAAGTCTCCCTCTGTGCCTCTTTGATTTAGCGCCACCTCTGCCTGGTGGCGCGTCACTTTTCCGTAGTACCACTCCTTCCCAGCAAAGCGTCCACTGCCTGAGGGCGAGATGTAGTCACAGTCAGGCGTTGGAGGCCCGGCTGGCCCTGCTGTGGATTTATGGGAGCTGGAGTCAAGAACAGTAACGTAGTTCTTAGGCACCAGGCCCAACTGTCCGTCTGCTTTGCGGCACTTCCACCACTCTGGGTCGTTCTCTGGTTTCTCTATGACCTCCATCACCTCGCCCCGCTCAAAGTTCAGTTCCTCGTCGTTGCCAGAGCTGAAGGGGTAGAGCGCCTGAACCGTGTGCAACACTCTGTTTCCATTCGTGCTGCTTCTTACCACGTCAACCAGTTTATCAGTCAGCGATCCGGCAGCCGGATCTCCCAGGCCGCCCATGCCTCCTCCCCCCGCCGTCCCATCCATGTCCTCCGTCACATAGTTGGACGGGAACCAGCCAGACCGTCCGTTGTAGCTGCCGCGCCACCAGCCGTCGCTGCACTTCTCCATCACCACCACCCTTGTGCCCTTCACCAAAGAGAGCTCGTCCTCGCGCTCCGCAGAATAACTGAACTTGACGAAAGCGGGCACGTTGAGGTCGTAGAGCCTCTCGCCGTTATCGGTGCTCAGATCCGTGTCGGCGTTGGAAGCGGTGTCTCTCATCCCTCCCTTCCTGCTCTTTACCTTCCCAATTCCTAGGAGCCAAAAAAAAAAAAAAGACAATCAGCAGTGAGATCTACACATGCAGATAAATTTGATGGTGCCCCTTTTGATGGTGGTAAATACTTACTCACCTACACCATTTCAAGAAATAAAATAAATTAATATTTTACAGTTCAGCCTGAATTTACAGAGATAGCGGTTTCTTCATTTGAGTCTACAATCTCAGAAAATTAAACACATTTGGGGTCTTGGAATCCTCTTCAGAAATCAAACCAAAAACAACTAGTAACAGTAAAGTACAGTAATTATTTCAATGTCAGAAAAGAAAAAAGACAGGATATAAAAGACATATTGGCTTTTGCATCATTATGCCCTGCTTAACAGTAATTGACATCTAACATTTATATGCAATAACCACGTGTCATAGGAAAAGGCTTGTACACAGCAGGGGTATTCCCACTTGTAGCAACAGTAATTTTGTTAATTGCTTTTTTCCCCCCTGATTGAAAAACCTGAAATCATGTTAAATATCTGAATGTAGTAGAATAATCAGAGTGAGATTATTCTACTGCATTAAAAAGAAGGCAAAACATTGAGGCTATTGACATTTTTTCAGCAGAGGTCTCAATAAATTTGCCCATACCTGTGTGCCAAAATACACTTTTTTCCCCAACTTTCTAATGGTGTGGGACAAGTCTCAACAAGCAATGAAAAGAAAAACAAAAAGAAAATAAAGCAATAATTAGCATTATAGGCTTACTAAATATCCTTTCCTTTTCACATCAGAGCCCAAACTCCCCAGACTCTAAATCTAAATACATTCATGAGGATTAGGTCTAGGTGCTGAGGAAACAACAAAAAACTGAATGGGATGAAAACTTGTTTTGACAGGGGCCTACAAATCCTGCAGAAACTGTTTTCTTTGTGTACCGTCACCTAATACTAAAATCAGACAACTCACCCCCACTCTAGTCGGCCTGAACTCGTTGGAACAAAACAGTTCAGCCTCATTGCTGCTAATCACATTGCAATAATCAACTTGGCCTGCACTGCATCCTGATTTCAAACTCTTCTACACCCCCCAACTTCATAGTGTTACTGCAGTTTCATTGTTGAAGAGCTGTGACCATTTTATAACATTTAAACAACTCCAGTTCAGCCCAACCAGACACTGATATCACAGACGGTGACAGATTTAGGCTCATTTCTGATTACGTTTGCAAGGCTATTGCTTGCATAATCAAAAGACAGCTGGATGAAATTACACAGTGGAGCAGGGTGGAGTCTCCGGGACTGTGCTGGGAGGACGGCGTGCGTCGTCTGTTATCCCAGCCGCTGGGGAAATGCGAGTGTCCTTTACCGCAGATGGATTGTTACTGAAAGGTGCCTCTGACTCAAGGGGAGCAGACAAATTTCACAGTAGGGCTCAGAGTCCAACGTCAAATTGCTTCCAGGTAGAGCCTGTTATTAGTCCCACCACTGTGCATAAGTACAGAGTGCAGACAGGGTGTTAAGAGCTGATGTCTGAAGGCGGAGGTTACGTGCTGCACACATGCCAGTTAGGCATCTTTGTACCAACTCAAACAAGACAAAAAGATATCGAAGGACAGATCGGAAGCTTCCGTCACAAAGAGGAACATATCAGATAAATTCCTGACATGCACAATTTAAAAAGAGATACTGCAGTTGGAACCTTTATGGTTGGAAGTGACCTAATTTAGCCCAATGGAGGTTACAGGTAATCAACTACTGATAAGAGACACCTTTAATCTCCAAATGAGAGCAGAGATAAAGTTTATATTTTATCTAAGGCTTATCACTGGCATGGTTACTGGTGTCCATTTACTGCTTTTGTCTGCTATGGTCCCTGAATGCTTTGCATTAAAAAAGCAGAGCCAAAGCATTTGCATAGATGCTCAATCTGCAGCCAGGTAAGTAATGGGAAGTTTGGATTTGCCTGCACAGCTAACAGATACAGGGGCTGCTACTGAGAGCAATGCTTCTCCTAAAGCCTCATCTATCATGGTGTTCTGGAGTTACGCAGAAGAATTCACTTGTTGGCTGTGTGGGAGAGCTTCCTTTACAGTTTAGCAGAGATAATATCTTTTCACATCAAACGCACGAAATGGAAACGCTTTTCCATGAAAGGGCGCAGCTGCACTGAGCTCAGGTGGCACTAACATATACTGGCTAGTGCTTCCTTGATATTCAGCCAGGCTTGTGTGTTCAATTGAGTTTTGAACATTTGTGTACAAATCACTTCTGTGCAACAGTAATGCGCAGAAGTAATGCAGGAAGGAATCTTGCAGAGCCTTCTAAAACCAAATACTGAAGGGAATTTGTTTGGATTTTGTTTAGATTAATAAAACTAAAACGGGGCTGAAACAATTGCGGACTACAAGTTTCTGATTATTTGTGAAACTTTGCAAGAACTACATATTATTTTCTTGGACGTCACAATTATCCACACTTTTTGTAGATCCATCACATAAAATCTGGGTAAAATCCAAATTTTACCTAGTTATTAACAGAAAACCGGGTTTTTTGTTAATAACTGAGCTTTAAACAATTTGTTTAACCAAGTATCCTAAATTTGTAACAAGAACGGATGTAAGCTGATTTAAAAACAGATTGATATAGCCCTTTAAGAAACCCACTATGACATGAAGAATCATTAAGAAAAGGAACATGTTTACCAAAGCTGCATTTCTCTTTCACTTGACATATGTCTTGATAACCTTCTCTCTTTTTTTAAGTACTTCTATATTTGTGCATTTTGTTTCACCACTTTATTTTGAGTAAACTGATCAAATACATGCCGTAAAAGTAAAGAAATGATATGGAAGTCTGAATTGAGTTTTATTCTTTGTTCCTTTTATATACGTGTTGATTCTGTAAATGTAATAATTACAAATCTGTCATTATCAGGGTCCAACAATTATAGATTTCTGGCTTTCTTTGAGTTCTGATCTCCAAGAAAGCTAAACTTATTTTTACTTAGGATTGTAAAATAGAAAAGTATTACCAATTATTAATCAAACAGAAAATGAAGGACCTGCATGATTTTTACCATGTTACCATTATCAGATTTTTAGTAAGAACTTCATAGTCAATACTAGATACTGTGAAGGTAGATATGCTTGTAGAATCTCAGTAGAGGTTCTTTTTACTTTACATTTTGAGGTGCTTGTCACCATAATTTTTCACATTATGGCAGGAATTGGGCAGAGAGAAAAAGAGAAAAGTTGGATGACTGTATGCAGCAAAACTCCAGAAAGTTGGGAGTGGAACCCCAGATAGCTGAGTTAATGACTAATACTCTCTCCAGTGAAACTCCACAGAAACTCATTATGGTTTTGACGCAGCTGAAGAAAGGGTATATGACCTACTGGTAAAGAGAAGCATTGCTACAACTACTAACATCAATAATGTAGTGATGAGATTAAATTACACTTGGGTAGACTGTTTTTACTGTTTTAAGTTGTCTTCAAAATGTGCTTGGTTGCACTGAATCTTATTTAAGTGTTTTACAGTTAAACAGTGCTGAATACAAACGCACACCATATGTTTCAGATGATATGTAAAAAAATTAAAAAATATATTTTAATAATCCTCAAATTTATATTTACATATTAGTATTTATTTGTCTATTAAAATTATCCTAATAAATACAGTGAAGATGGTGGTATGAATTAACTGTACCCAGGCATACTGAGGATTTAAAAAGTTGTGTTTTAATTTTTCCTTCTTTACTGTTCCCAGTTAAAGTTAAATACAAGTGTAGGAGATCCAAACGTTTCCTCTAGGTCTATGAAAGTACAGTTAACAGTGCTGGCTGATGCACACTGCCAGTCAGCTGGATGAAAGGAGGCTACCACACTTAACTCTTGCTAGAAGGAAAAATTCCACTATTAAAGGAAAATCTTCAATCCATCACTCATGAAGATAAAGAGCCAGCCCTGACCAAGTCACAGAAAATAGAAAAGTTCAAAGGTCATTACACTGTACACTACAGCTGGAGATGCCAAATTAAATTTTCCAATTTCCAGCTCAAGGGAAAAATTTACTGCAAAGAAATTTTGCAAATATTTAAATTTCTTTTCCTATGAGGTGACATGCAACAGTTTTTTCTCTGTATGTCACACAAAATGTACACAAATAGTGTATGTCATTGGGTTATTTAAAACAGGTATTTGTGATGACTGGAAAGAAGACACCACTCAAGAGATGTAAAAATATCCCTCTCCCCATTTTGCCTCATTTTCTACACCTGATAGTAATCCTAAACAAAGACAACCACTTGAACTTTGTGAGCACATACAGTGTGGGACGTTCAGCTTCCCCTGAAAGCCACAAACCTTGTTGCGGCTCTGTTGCAAGCTGGGAAAACCTTACGAGAGAAATTAAAAACACCGTGCCCTGGAAACTTCTCTCGTACGACATCACATGCCTCTTTTTTTTGTTTTTTTTGCGCACTTCCTGAGAGAGGGATGTGGGGGAAGGAAATTACACAGAATCAGATGGCTGTAAATCACTGCAAACAATGACAAGGAGCACAACACGGACATGTTGGGTTCCTCCAAAATAAAATACAAAAATAAATACTTTTTTTTAAAAAAAAGAAAGAAAGAAAAAATACAAAACAAGAGTTTGTTTACTGATGAAACACAACACAAAGAGAAGAAAGTGCCGGGAAGTCTGTCCAGCTACCGGTGACATACAGGAATGAAGGGTTTTTTTCTGTCCAAACTCTGGCCTGCCTACGCTAGTTGGCTGTCCATTGTCTGCCAAGGCCCTTTCGACCTCCCAGCTTCCCTCCATTCCAGGGCTCTTCCTCTGTGGACGACAACACCCCGCGTCAGCCTGTCTGACAGGCCTTTAACATCCCTTTGCTTTGACACGGACGCTTTTTCCAACCAGTCAGGTCAGAGCAAACCGGCCTGCTACCTCTTCTGTGGCAAGTTGTCATCACATCCTATTTTGACATTCCAGTCAAGTTGCTTAAAATTATTGTGTAGCAATGTCTGTTGTA